GTATAAAGGTTTGCTCTTTAATGCCATCGTTTAGTAGGCCAGAACTGCGTCTTGATAAAATGGACTATCGTTTGCCTTCCTAGGTCCGTAACCTCCCTCCACGCTCTGTCACCTCACTTTGACCAATTCCAAAGCGGACAAAACCCCTCAAATATATATATCTATATGATGTCATAGGCGAGCCGTATTTCTAGGGGCCCCGAAAAACGAACACAGCCCCGCCCTTTTTCTACACCAACAGACCCACGCGTTTTTTAGGGGTCCGAGGTCTGTCGCGGGTCGAGGTTCTTAAAAGTTCTAAAAAAGTTTCGTCGACACACCTGCCCGCGCATTATGTTTATCATACTAGGATATTATATGTGTTAGTTGTCTGTGTAAATATGTATACCTCTGTGAATTACTAATTGTGTGTGCTAGACTGCGGTCTGGCTCTCCCAGCTTGCACGCGGTTTGATTGGCTAGCACTTGTACTTTCAGATTTGCATAAATGGGATTTGATTGGCTGACGCTTCCACCTCAGCTTCAAAAGTTGAACATTGCTCAACTTTTGAATCCTGAAAATCCTGGAAATCCTGGAAATCTTCGCTTCCCCACAATGCAGTTCGGCGAAAAGCGAGGCAAAGTGACGTCTCACCCATTCAAAGTCAATGGGCAGAGAAGCGTTGGAAGCGTTGGAAGATTTTTTTTCTGCTGTGTGGACGTACCGTTAGGGATGCCAGCGATTATTCGATTTTTCGAATATTCGTTGCATTCTCCATAATCGAAAATTATTTTTAAAATTCGATTTTATTTATATATTTTTTTATTATTATTTATGTTTTTCTTTCTTAGTTTCAACCAAAATATAGACTAATGCTAATAATAGTAATAGTATTAATAATTGTAAATGGCCATTGGTCACACCACCAGTTTGTTTTACTGTAAACTTGTAAACTCGCGGCGAATAATCGATTAATATTCGCCAGGGCTGTCCGATTTTCTAATTTGATCATGGTCAGTTTCTGGCATCCCTAATTTGTATATGTATTTGGGATTATGGGAAACGGTATTAGGATCTCTCTGTCTGTACACAAACTGAAAGATTGACAATACATTTGACTGACTTGTAATCTTAACCTTTTTAAATAAAAGCAGCTCAGAAACCTTTAACGGCTGCTGATGACCAACCTCTTCTCTTTGGCGTGTGATTGAGTTAAAATTGACTTAATTCTGTTTAATATAATTAACCAATATCTGTTGGTTTTAATGGGCTATACAGAAAAGTTTGATTTAGCTTGACTCCTCCTCCCAGATTGAGCATGAAGACAGGATGGTTGACTCTTACAATTTATATCAATATTCCAATTACTTGTATATAGACTATTCTAATCCGTGTATGTTGTTTATAATATTATCAACCAAATACTGTGTTGCTTCAATGCAAGTGTGTTTTAGCATACTTTTTGTTTTGAAATCACTTCCGAGAGTTTCGCGTTTACTTGTGAATAAATAAATAAAAAGATACACGTCCTCTTAGTCAAACAAAACCAAAAAGTTGATTTATCCGTTTTGGTTTTAAAACAGAATAACGTCGTTTTTTTTGGTTTTCCGTTTTTTGGTTTTGGTTTTAAAACAAAAAAACAACACAAGTTTTTAGTTTTTCCTATTCGGTTTTGAAACGAAATAACCAAAGAACGAACCATTTCTACTATGTTCAATTTTATTTATATTTACTTGCACTATTTTATGTTTTATTGTGTTGCACTGTTGGAGGAGCCTGAGACCTCAGATGTTCGTTGTCATGACTACACTGTAGCTATGCACACATGACAATAAAAGCCTTGAACCTTGTGTCGTCCTAATATTGCAGAGATGGAGTTTCCTTCGTCCCTGACCAGTACTGAGCGGGCTTTCATCCATCGGACGGCTCAGTCCCTGGGATATATCTCCAGGAGCAAAGGGTGAGTTCCTCCACCGGAACCATCTTCATCTAAGCATCCCTGAGGAATTGTGCAAAGAAATAGACATTTAAATATCTCTCACTCCTCAGAAATGTTGTTATACCCGAGTTTGATGACAATAAAGATATTCAGATTGTCACTCTTATGAAGTGGTTAAGTATTTCTACCCTTAAGCAGCCGATAATCCTAGTAGTCTAGCAGGAAGGGCCCTCAGATTTCGAGATACCCCTACCCGAGGTGGAACAAATTACAACAATGATTTGTCTTATCTTTAGGGTCTCCCATTAATGAAATTGATAGTTTCCGTCTAAACTAAAGCTACGTTTACAGGACTATAATTCAGTATTTTTTTAGTTAAATAATTGTCTGACTATTTGGTGATGTAGGACAGCCACCTGGTTCATACCTCAGCAAATCTGAAGAGGAAACGAGTGGTCATTCTCAAGTTATGGGCTTTTTTGTCTCCTTTCCCACATTCGGCCTGGTCACATTCGGCCTGGTCTAATTTGGCTCTTTTTCAGGGATTGGGGTAGTTCTAAAGAACAACCAAAACAAATGGTTTCCCCCCAAAATAAAATTTAACAACAATCAATTTCATTAATGGGAGACCCTAAAGATAAGAATAATCATTGTTGTCATTTGTTCGACCTCGATCTCGAAAACTAAAGCCTTTTTTGAGGACTTGCTGCTGGACTATAGACTGTAGTGTTGCATTTTTAAGAAGATTTGTCAATTTACTTTGTTACTCTACCTATTTTTCTATAAAGTGAAGATTTGTTTACCTACTTTTGGTACATGCTCTGATAGAATAACTGTATGCTGTTGAACACGATCAACAAATCTAAAGAAAGGAGGTGAGTAAATTGACTAATTCTTCATAAAAAATGTTGGGGCTTAAATCTGTTAGAATAGAATAGAATCCTTTATTGTCATTATACAGGTACAATGAGATGAGTAGAGCTACTCCTTTCTTTAAGTTTCCATCAAAAATACAAAAAAACAAACGAGACATTCAGGAGAAGACCACATACAAACAACAAGCATTCATACTTCAATATGCAGATACAGTTAAAGTGCAGGAATATATCGGTTTAGGTCAAATAAACGTTTTGAATGTGTATCAAAATGTGTATAAGTATGTTGACAAAAGACATTTCTCTCCCTCTGTCTCAGGAAAGGACCAAATCGCTTCCTCACCCTGAAGAAAAAGAGCTGCACGGACAAACCTCGGCCCTCCATGCCCCTCCCACTCTCCCAAAATTCGATATATTCCATCCGAAGCCTCCTGCAGAGGTTCCCAGTCAGCAATAAGGAGCGCATCGACATGCAGCCCAACACCAGGAACGGCATGTCTGTGTCTTCAGAATCTGGTGAGTGTCTGAGTGTGCTCTAAGGTCGCATTCACACCTCAAAGTCCGCTCTCAGGTGCGCACCAGACCACAGTTTGTTACATTGTTTCATTTTTCAGAAGGTTCAAACGGACTATAAACTTTAAACACAAGTCATGTGCACGGAAATGCTGTTCAACCATTGGTCAGGCATTAAGGGGATAGAAACGCAAATCCGGACAATTTCTACCGGAGCCTCCGCCATGGAGCATCGGCAGGTTATTCTCATGCTGCTGTTAATCTGGAGATCAACAGACTCTAGAGGCCCGCGCATATGATTATATAATCAGATAACGTCCGTTAAAAAACATTATAACACATATAATGAGAGAAGTTCTGCAGTAAGGAGGGCGTTTCACAGACTGAAGGTGGATCTGACTTTTATGTATAGTTGACGGAGCATTTTTACTTTACACGACACTGTTCAACACTTCATTCTGCTTCACTCTTTAACTAAACAACCGCGGAAGATTTTGAAGACGCGTAAATACTACGCTTCCTGTGTTTTGGTGCGGACTGCGTTCACACCAAAACAATGAACCGCTCCAGAGTTCGCAAGCAAGCGCTCCAGACCACCTCTTTAGGCGGACCAGAGTCCGGTTGTTTAGTTCACTTCAGAGGTCTCGGACTGCGTTCACACCGACCCAAACGAACCGCACCAAGCGGGTAAACGCCCCAGGGTTTGATTCAACCGGACTAAACAAGGCTGGTGTGAATGCGCCCTAAGTTTTTTCTGTAGACTTCTGCGGTTAATTTAGTAAAATCATTCAACATTTTTTCCTTTTTTTACTCAGATAATGGGTTTGATTTTGTGTACATTTGTTTATTTGACCATACATTTCACAAAGAAGCGTGGTGGTTGTTACGTTGCCTCCTAGACTAGGGGCACAAAGGGAAGTAACAAAATATAAAAATAACCGGGAGAGATTAAAAAGAGAGAGGAAACCGATTTGTGAAACCACCAGATGATGTTTTAATTAATCAAAACTAAAGAGGGCTCACTCGCCAACTTGCACAACAAACTTAAGATAAACTAAGAAAAACTTTCTCTTAAAAGAAATTGACTAAAGTGCTTAATACACAAAGATAAAGTGGAGCACATCTCCTAACAATGAACAAACACAAGTTAAACATTTTGTAAAATCATTCAATGTTTTTTTCCTTTTTTTTCCTAAAAGGTGTTGCATAGATTTAGGTGATTATTTATTGTATTTGTCTGTGTTGATGTTACACATGGAGCTGCTGTGATGCAAGTCACATTTCAGACTTGATCTGACCGTTAAAGTGTTATCGTATCGTATGCTTTGTAAATAGTCAATCCTTTCGCCTGTATCTACTTGTCTTTCATCCTTTCTTTATAACTAATTAAAAAGGTGTCTCATATCATCTGGCCGGGGACAACAGCTGGAAATGAGCAATGTTGGCTAGAGCAGTGTTTCTCAGACTGTTCCATACCAAGGACCACTTAACCAATAAAAAAACACTCGCGGACCACCTAACTCCACAAGTATCCCAAAACACATCGTTTTTCTAGAACAGATTACAAATTGCCTGAAAATGGTAGAAACAAGTGCAACATGTGTGACGAAGGTGTTTCGCTGGGCTATATCATGCAATTGAAAGTGAAACTTAAGCTCGCTCCATTGCGGAGATATTCCCGCGAGAGTGCGGAAAACTGTAACTATTTATTTATTTCAAATGTGAAATTTTACCAATATACCCACAGACCACTAGGGGGCGCTCACGGACCACCAGTGGTCCGCGGACCACACTTTGAGAAGCACTGGGCTACAGAATATATTCATTTAATGTCTATACATGTACAATGAAAGAAAGAAAAGCTTATCCCTTTTTTAAAAGGTGCCATCAAAACAAATACACACAGCATACATACTTATGTAAGAATAAAGAATAAAGTGCAGTAATTATTTCCAGGGGTATAAAAAAAAAAGTAATAAACAATAATAGGTATTTATTTATAATAATTATATATATGTATATATATATCAGGGTGTTCGCAGGGTCTTAAAAAGTATTAAAAGTTGATAAATCAATTTAGCGAAAATTAAGGCTATTAAAAAGTATAAACGGCGTTTTCCAAGGTTTTACATTTTGTAGCTTGTTTTCAATAAGTATATAAATTGTCCAAAGAGGTTGTATTCTACAGTCTGCCTGAATGTAATCATTGCGTCTTTGTGTAGTGTGATTCTGTGTAGGTCCGTTTACGCCGGTTGTTAAACAACATCGTTATGGGGAAATGCAAGTTTGCGTCCAAATGGTTGGAAGATAAGGAGGAAGGACAATCAATACTGTATATAGTCAATGTGAGGTAAAGTGTGTCGCCAAGGTAACCGTTTAGAACTCCAAGTGGCGATGAGGTCTTAAAATGTATGGAAAGGGTCCAAAGATCCAAAAATACTTAAAGTAAAAAAAAAAAACGTAAATTCCAAAAATACTTAAAGTTCCAAATATACTTAAAGTTCCAAATATACTTAAAGTTCCAAATATACTTAAAGTTCCAAAAATACATAAAGTTCCAAAAATACTTAAAGTTCCAAAAATACTTAAGGATCCAAAAATACATAAAGTTCCAAAAATACTTAAAGTTCCAAAAATACATAAAGTTCCAAAAATACTTAAAGTTCCAAAAATACTTAAAAATACTTAAAGTTCCAAAAATGCTGAAAATGGTTGGAAGATAAGGAGGAAGGACAATCAATACTGTGTATAGTCAATGTGAGGTAAATGTAACCGGTTAAACCTCAAAGTGGCGATGAGGTCTTAAAATGTATGGAAAGGGTCTTAGAAAAGGTCTTAAAAGGTCTTGCATGTGACTTCAGGATTCCTGTATATAGCCTGATATATACAAAAGTTGACGGGAAGACGACAGAAGTGTTAAACGTTTCATGTGATAATCTCCTCCCCTCAGAGGGCGGCTGTGACAGGGCGAGCGGACGTCTGAACAACGGGATTCCCACGGTGCCGAAGAGAAGGAGCCCGTCAGATCTGGACACTTTTCGGCAATCTCTTCCTGTCCACGAGCGCCAGGAGGAGATCATCCACGTGATCAGAGAAAGCCGCGTGTTGCTGGTGGTGGGAGAGACCGGCTCGGGAAAAACTACACAGGTTCTTTTTATTCTAACCTTTTATGCTCTTAACCTTTTTTGATATTACCATATTTTTATTCAATATTTCTCCTTAGATAACTTTATATTTTAATTGTTTTAATTGTATTTTCTCCTCGTAGCATTGTGAAGCACTTTGAGATGGCGTTGTTTTTAAAGTGTGCTATATAAAAGAAATGTATTATTATAGTTGGGTCTGACTCTACAACTGAAATATGTTAGAAGGATCAGGGAGGCCCTAAAGCACGTTGCCCATAAACTACATGTCCCACAATGTATCTCATTTTGTGACAAACGCACTGAAGAGACTTGCAATTAT